TTTCCCTGCATAATGTGTCTATAAAGAACACTGAAAATGTTTACCATTAAAAACATCCAGCTAGTTAAAAATCAACCTGATTTTCATTTTCCTTTTTTTTTCTGGGAAGGTTAGGGTGGAGGGTGGAACAGTGCTGCAGTCCAGTACAATATAGGTATCATCTCCTTTGGGCATCAACGAGCTGTTGAACTGGCTCAATGGCCTGTGAAACCTCAGCCTACAAGAAGAGTTCAGTCCTAGAAATCTAATACCAACATAGAGATTGTTTTACAGAAAACTAACACATTAATTTGAGCTAAATGTATTTAACTTAACTGTTTTGTCATAAAAAAATGTTTTAGAATATTCACTCTTCCGTATGGACCCATCCAAGGGAAATGCCAAGGAACTAAGTATCATTGCTGCTACTGTTTTTTTTTTAATATGTAGTGCTGTGTTTGTACACAGTGCTTTACAGACACACAGAAAGGTGGAATTTTTATCAAAGGCAATGATAAAAGAGAGGGAAGAATAATGGTTACAAGAGTGAGAGTTATCGAGATGCTCATTTTCTAAGTGATCCATACTACAGTGCAACCAATGTTTCCCCTTGCTCGTATAGTGTTAACAAAACCCATGCTAGATGAGAGATCGGCAATGCAGAAAAGCAATACATTTTCTTAATTAATCTAGTGGATAGGAGGAACCTGAGCACTAAATCCCACCCATTTGATTTCATTAAATCTGCTATAAAAGTTAAGCTGCACTTTAGCATTGGCTCTAGACAACCTCACTCAGCAGAGTGAGGTCAAAGAGATCTTATTCAAGGAGGTGCAGCTTAGTAAAAGAGTATTTATGAGGAAAGGCCTGATAAACAGTTCTGTTGTGATGAGAAAGCTAGACAGTGGGGCACACCAAATAGTAAATATAGTATTTTATTTCACCTGCAGTTTTCCTGAGATGTATGCTTTGAAGAGTTTACAGAGAATTATTTGTAGAATCATAGAATTGTTTAGGTTGGAAAGGACCTTTAAGATCATCAAGTCCAGCCATTAACCTAGCACTGCCAAGTCCACCACTAAACCATGTCCCTAAGCACCACATCTACACATCTTTTAAATACCTCCAGGGATGGGGACTCAACCACTTCCCTGGGCAGCCTGTTTCAATGCTTGACAACCCTTTCAGTGAAGAAATTTTTCCTAATATCCAATCTAAACCTCCCCTGTCACAACTTGAGGCCATTTCCCCTTGTCCTACTGCTTGTCACTTGGGAGAAGAGACCGACCCCCACCTTGCTACAACCTCCTTTCAGGTAGTTGTAGAGTGATAAGGTCTTCCCTGAGCCTCCTTTTCTCCAGCCTAAACAACCCCAGTTCCCTCAGCTGCTCCTCGTAAGACTTGTTTTGCAGCCTCACCAATGCCAAGTACAGGGGGACAATCACTTCCCCAGTCCTGCTGGCCACACTATTCCTGATACAAGCCAGAAGCCCCAGGCAACACTGGTGTCACTGGAAACTCAAATTTCAGCCTTGGGCCACTTGCAAACAGCGTCAGAGTCTATGTCCGAGCAGCCTGGAGCAAGCTCAGGGATCAAACAGTGCCCTGTCTAATTTGCCTATAAAAGAGGGTCAGTGGGAGCTAAAGCACTTGGCAGAGAGTTCTATGGCTTGGCAGAGGCAAGCTATACAAGCAAGAGGATGACTACTGGTCATCCTCTGGCAGTGGTGGGCAGGGATCTGAAGGGGAAAGAAAAGGGTGAAGCGACCATAGCATTTTCTTTGCTCGCCACTGTGCAGCCACACCTGCCCATGAAGGAGTTTCCTCTGCACCCCATACTCTGCCTCCATTTCAACTGGAGGCACACTGAATCACAGTCCACTCCCCAGTGTGCCCCCTGGTAAAGCAAAAATACATTGTGCTTTCTGTTGGTTTAGAAAGAAAAACAGTTATTCTTTTAGGTAAAAAATGGACTATATGACAAAACTGCCCCTTAGTGTTTTTCATTTTGAAGTCGTGGTCTGGCTTCACACAGGAAGGGGTAAGGGGCTTGACCAGAGTTCCTTCAGAGGTCCCTTCCGACCTGAATTGTTCTATGATTCTGTAAAATTATGTGTAGAGTTTCCTACCTAAGTTTCTATGACTGATTATTGCCATTGCTCCTGTGAACTGAGCCATCACACATGTAGATTATGTAAAACTACCCCTTGAGCTCCAGAGAACATTCAATAGGATTCAGTCCCCATGTGTGCAGCCTGAGCTTGCAAGTTCCTTCAAGTAACCGGGATCTCACGTGGCAATTGGGAAACATCCCTTCAGACACACAGGCTACAGCTTTAGTGTTACTGGCAAGCTTTTAAAAACACTGATATGCAGGCAATCCTGAGAGAAGCAGGTAAACTGCAATAATTAGGAAATTAGGTTTTCAGCTGCATTAATGCTATGTGAAAGATACCATATGTGTTTTGTTTTCTTTCCACAGCTTAATGTCTGGGCTAGCAGCCCTGGATGCCAAGACTTCCAGTCGATTAGGTATCATAACCGTCACTTACTACCTGTGGACAACATTTGTGGCTGTGATTGTGGGAATAATTATGGTTTCCATTATCCATCCTGGTGGAGCGGCACAGAAGGAGAGCACTGAAGAGGGCGGAAAGCCCATCATGAGCTCTGCAGATGCACTGCTTGACTTAATCCGGTAACCACATTCATTCTTTTTGCTTTCTGGAGGTAACATTTTGTACATAACTGCCTGAGGAACTGTGGCCTGAGGATAAGTTCTGAACCTAAGGATGAACATTTTGTTTAAGTCAAGAAAAAGGATCAAGAAAGTTTCAGATGATTTTCAAGTTATCAGATGTTTATATTGGCTGTTCCTAGCAAAATGTAAATGAATGGCCACCAAATGTGTCAGAAGTACTAACAACATAGGGGTAGGGGTTTTTTTACCCCCTCAGAATCACATGTAGCCTATGGAGCTCATCATAAAATCTATTATTAGGGCCAAGACAATATTAAAATGTAATGTTAATTTAAATAAGGGCAGACAGTTGTAATAGGCAAAACCTTAAGTATAAGAGCTGAAATCTACATTTTTCAGGAAATAATTCTTAAAAGTTTTCTTACAACTGCTCATAGCAGCTCTCAGATGAATGACACAATTCCAAAGGCCACTGTTGTGATCTTTTTATTCCTTTTTATTACATTCTTTGTTCTGCTTTGTGGCTTTTTCTTGGTTGCTTTACTTTGTTTGGCAGAAGGGAGTGTTGTTCTTTCAGATCAGCAGTAGAGCACTGATGGCATTTTTATAGCGTTGCCTGAATGATCCCTCTTTGTCTCAACATTTCAGGTGCTAGTGGGATTAGTTTCCTGACTGAACATAGTATGTGCCTCAGATTTATTTTGCTCATGCAGAAAACCAAGTTTTGCCTTTGGTTGGTAGTTTCTCAAGCCAGTGATCTCATACCATATTGGGCAGGGGTGTCTAGGCTCAGTGTGTATCTAAAACACGAAGAGTTCTCTTTGGAGTTTGACGTATTAAAATTAAAAAAGGTTGCACAGTTTGTCTTTCAAAAACCCAAATTCCTGACCCTGACAGGGCGTCAGCACACAAAGTACTTTAATTAGAGTTACTGGGACCTCAAAGCAGAAGGAACTGGGATGAAAAGCTTGTAAAAATCTTTTTTTTCTCCTCCAAGTTGCACTTAGCCAGGCCATCTGAAACGCGCATGTTTTTCTGTTGTATCAATGTCTTACTGAGAATGGGCCAAATTATATTAGTCATGGAGTAGCAGCTGAGCGCACTGTCTTTTGTAGCTTTCCACAAAACCACCATCTTCATCTGCAATGGGAAGATGCCCACTTCATGGCATCTGTATCTCCCCAGTGACTTTGCCGTGATGTATGTGCAGTGGAATTCACGCATGTGTGTTTGTGACATAATGTTAAGTCACGTATTTCCGTTTCTGCTCCATAAAGGACTGTAATTCCTACACCAAGAGGAAGGAACTGAGCAAGTTACTGGAGCTCTGAATCGCTTAGTACAACAGAGTAGCATATGAAGTAAAAGGGAATTTAAGAAAACTGTAATCTTAATTATTATCTTCATAGTGGCAGTGTTTGGAAACCCTTTCTGGCATGCTGAGCTGTTTCTAAGACCTCAGTCTTAGACAAGTAAAGGTGTAGGGAGACATATGGTACAATGTTACATCCAAACTGACCTTACAGCTCTCTGGAAAGGGTCTCCCTTGCCATAGGTTCCCATCCCCTTCCTCACACCAGCCCAGTTGCTTTTTGAGATCCAGAGTAAGCTAGTTCATGGAGATGAGTCAGATGAAAAGTAATTTGGGCATGCAAAATCTAAATTCAGTTCTATAGTATGATGTTTGCATATAACAACCGAATGTCTGTATGACTGGAACCTGAGATCTGAGTTACGATCTCATTGCTTCATCTCTGTCTGGCTAGTCCCTGTACACCGCAGGTTTAGTGGTGAGATCTGGGAACACTTTATTCTGCTGAGCCTTACTGAAGCTAAAATACTATGTCCTGATCTAAACATTTGCAAATATCATCTATAATTTCACTTCCTGCAAACATTTACCTGAGCAAATTGTAATAGTTTGCATGCATATTTCAGGTATTCATGTTTCCAACCAGGCATGTGCTTTTGGTCTGCGAAACCTTAAAGTCTTCACTGGTTTTTGCAGATGTCAACAATGACAGGCCAACGAGCCGCTCTCATTACCAAAGCTTAAAAAGAGAGAATAAAGCTCACTCTCCTTATGCTGCGCTAAGCAGCAGTTACAGCTGCAATCTTTCTACCCCGAGTGCACAAACTGATGGTTTTTATTCCTCCACTACAGAAATAACCACATTTACTAAATAAATAAATAACACAACTGTGGGGAATGGGCTTTCAGCCTAGGCAAACACTATGGGTGAAATCCTGGCTCTGCTGAAGTCAGTTGCAGAACTCCTAAATATCTATGTGGAAGTCTGGATTAAATGTAATGATGTATCTGCTGGTTCGAGCTAGAAAAGCTGATCCTTTAGCTCAATGATAAATCACTTCCATTCACAGCTGGAGACCATCTTTTTCGGCCCAGATTGGCTTATCTTCTCAATTCATTAATTTCCTCTCAATTTATCAATTGCATATGTGCACAGAAGTTTACACAGGAAACATCTGGTATTCTGCAAATGAAGAATGCTAGATGTACAAGTGGAGAGATGATATATGTGACATAATTGTGGGGTTTATTTTAAAAGCATGAATCTTGGCACGGTGATACACATATTCACCTTCACTGGTTTCAGATTTGAAGCCACTTTGAAATGATGAAATATATTATTATTTCTTGTGATGTTATATATGACATTGTCAGGTCTGCAATTTTTGGCAGGGAGGATGTTGCTAGAAATTGGATTTATTGAATTTTTGGGTGAGGATTTTGCTTTTAGAAGTGGTTTTAATCAGAAATTAAAGAATGTGCTGACTTAGTAATAAATGAAACCCAGAACTACTGCAGAACCTCACGGTCATCCTAACCTGCAACATTAATCAATAATCACATTATTATTTTGCATTATTTTGCAGATGGTGCTTCCCCTGTATATTTGTCTGTTATGTAAAAAAAACAGCAATAAAACCTCCAGTGTATATGACTTGATTAGGACAAAACAGTGACACTGTACTGCATAATCCTGAAATGGCTCTAAACCTCACATCAACCAGAAAATACATTATCTCATCAACATACTGAATTTCATGCCTCAAAAATTGTATCCACAAGTCAACCATTTTTTTGCCACACTAAACAGCAGTACTTGAAAGACTTCCTTTCTAAAGGGAACCCCAAGAGACTGGGGACAAGATCTGTGGATGTGAATCTGCCCCTACTGATTTCCTCCTAGATTCAGTCTGGACAGAGAGGCCACTGAATGCAGCATAATAGAAGTGTTTTCAACATTCAATTAGTCTTTATACCTAAAATCTTTAGTGCTGCTTTGGCCTTAAATGTCTGAATTTTTGCTTTAATCTCATCCAGCTTTAAACCAAATACATCTTCTGCTGTCTGTGGAAGATATCCATTTAACTTGGTAGTTCACCCTCATACCTGTGCAGGAATCTCCCCTTCCATAACTTGCCCCTCTCTATCGGCAGTGTGCCAGGATCTGGGCTAAGGACAAGTAATTCAGAAGGCAGCTGTGAGTCTGAAGCTGTGCAGGAGATGCTGTTCTGAAGAGGCTTCTTTCTTTAGCTGCCATTTTATTGCTACATTGAGACAGATGTACAAATCTGCCTTGATTATATTCAAGGTTTCTGATGCAAGCACTGCAAGGCTCATGAAAGTATATTTTCTTCCATATTTAAAACTATAAATCCTCAGGCTAAGGATCACCTTGTTCTCCTTAATGCACCGAGGTGCCTGGTGCTTTATGAATTTTAATGGATTTATTCTCATGGTGTGCAATACTTCCGTGAGGTAGGCAAGGACCATTTTCCTTTCTTACAGCTAGAGAACCAAGACATATGGAAAAGAAATTACCTTACTGAGGATTGTTCAGAAAAATCTATGGTGCCAAAGGAAATATTCCCAGCTCATACGAGACCTAGTAGGAGTCTTGTTCTAGGAATGTGGCTTTTGGGGCACCTCAATGGAAGTAATAGCAATGAATCAACACACATCTTTATGTTCTTTTTTCCTATGTGAATTATCAAAATTAACTCTGTACTATGTCCCCAAAAATAAAAGAGTGAACTTTTAGTAGCCTTTTGTGAGCTAAGAAATGAAGAAAGGCAAGATATCAATTTTTTAAAATAATTCAGACTTTGAGTGTTGTATTCAAAAGGACAAAAAGGGACATAATTACAGGAATAGCGTTCAATTTAAAATATTAAGTTCATTTAATTCTACCATGTATATTCACCTGACAAGCAGAATAGAAAATGCCTGTGATTTGGGGATGAACATTTGTAAAACAAGATATATGACTCAGGACCACGCTGTTTATATTAGCAGTTAATATTTCCACCACATTCTGTTGCCGTTATCAAAATGCCTTTGATTTAAAAGGGTAAATCTTGTTGGAACTTAAATCACGCTACTTGCATTTGTCACCAAGGGAAACAAAATTTGGCTGATGAAATAAAAACAAACAAGCAAACACCATAAACATTCACATGAGGAAACAAATCCCATCCAAACTGGGGGTTCACCTTCCTGTTTTATATAAGGCTGACTGCATGTGCAAATCTGGGCACCAGCAAGTGCAGGGTTCACATATATTTTTCATCTTTTTCAAGTCTAACCAGACAGCATGACATCGCAAGCTTATTGGGTTCAAAAGCTCCAGATAAAACAATTCAGTGAATACAGTCAGAATCAAATCATGCCTTAACCCATGACACACAAATTTGTATATTTCTGAAGTTTACTGGAAAGCTAAGTCAGAGCATTTTACCACTGAATATTCAGGATTGCATCCAATTTAATAGCAGGTACCAGGAAACTCAATCTGGATTAACCAAGAGAGGGGTTTGTTTTTATACCATTAATAGTTAGAAGAGGATATAAACATTTTAGAGGATTTATGTTTTCATGGGAATCCTGAGCACTTTTTAAAATCATTTCCTTTCCCTCTTTTCAAGCTAAGGGCTATATTCTATTTTATGGAAATTGTGTTTCTTGAAAA